TTGTTTTCATCATTGCGTGATATAATAAAATTCTCTAAACTTCAGAGACGTTTTCTCTGTGTTTTTTGGCGTTAATCTTGTGTTCTTCCCTGTAAATTTGCTGGTAGAACTAGCCTGCAGAATAATCACTATTCTGCCCGGCGTCAATTTCTTATTTTATTAGATTCTGTTTGATGTGGAACTTTTGAGAATAAATTACGTGAAAAGTGATTTTTTTGGAAAATATATGGCTAAAAAAGTGTAGAAAAAAATTAAAAGTTCAGATGCAAAATTATTTTATTGAAAAAATGTGTGTTTAAAAATAACATTGAAAAAAATGAATTTTACAAAATTTGTACTAAATAAGAACTTAATATGATCTTACCAAGATCATCAACCACATATATCAAACACTTCATTTTTTCAAACACTTCATATCAAACACATATATCAAACACTTCATATCAACCACATATATTAAGAATGCGTTTGATTGACTTTATTTTTTATGAAAATGTCATTTTTCACCCAAATTTTTACTTTTGAGGTATTTGATTCACAATTTTTTCCATGGAAAATATGTTTTAACTTTTGGTCGTGTGACCATATTTTTCTCAAAAAATAAAGAAAACACTTCTTTTAGGGAGGGTGATTTTTAATTTCCTCTCTTTCTCTCTCATATATCCTCATCTCTTATGAATTGTCTAGAATCTATTTTATTTTCACTTAAATTTCATGTTTACAATTAAACGCATCCTAACCATTATGTGATGAGTAATTTAAATTTGCTAACTAATGCGACATATCTTGAGAAATTTGGTGACCAACCGTGTTTTAGACACATGAATTTCTTTTCGGAAAAACTGATACATGGAATTTCTGGAGTGGATGGCTCCAACTTAAAATTTTGATTTTATTTGTTTATACCATGCTGACTCGCATGCCACCTGGAAATCACTAATGAAAGTTAAATGACAGGTATAAACTGTTGAGACATTGCACGAACTATGGCTGCCTCAACGCGCAAATTTGTGGTGAAAACCTCAAACCACCTTTTAAAATTATAATTAATTAATGCTAACTTTTTCATGGAGGTTTCTGAGAAACTTACTAAAAGTACACACATTTTGACCATTAGCAAAAACTGGAAAAAGGTTCCTTCAAGTTTCAGTATCAACCAAGAATACAATGCAAAAACAAAGGTGTGAAAGAAATTCTACGTTACTACCAAAAAGTAAGCATCTCACTAGATGAAAATGACAGAACAATACAAAGAATTTCCACGTTGAACAAAGCACACCAGCACTGAATTTCCACTGACAAGATAGTTTACACCTTTGAGGCACCGTGATCCTGTCGTAAAGCTATGGAACTCGACTTATCAAACGAAAAATCATGTGGAATTTCTTGGAAAGCTTCGTAATTCGAAATCATAGGAGGGTAAACACTGCAGCAGTTCACCATTTCCGGTATAGATAAATTCTCTAATCCATCTAATTGTTGCGGAAAATTATAGTCCATCTCTACCCGGATTTTTTCGAGTTCTTGAAAAGTGTTACCCGCTGTAATGTCGACGCCACAGCAGTCGCTTGTCATTGGAGGACAAGAGCTAGTTAAGAAACTCGAATAGGTCGAAGAGGTGAGCATATTAACTGAATTTTCACCCATTTTGTCTTGAGTAAATGAGACATCTGTGTCATAAAAAATTCCATTGCTGATGCTGCGTTTACTTGTAGCAAATAAACCATACTTTTTTTGTTGAAGATCATAAGAAAATCTTTCTCCTGCAGTCTGGACCTTCAAACTGGCAAGGGATTCTTGTTCATTTAGATGATCCTGGCTTGGATTTGCTACATCTTGCAAGGCAAATGGCTGATGTGGCCAAGTGTAATTGAACCGAGCCTCTTGTTCTCTACGCTGCTTACCCAGTAGCTTTTTCTTCAACCTTGTGTTCCAATAGTTTTTAATGTCATTATCTGTTCTTCCAGGTAATTTCCCCGCGATAATAGACCATCTGACAATCAACATCGTAAAATTATCATCGTGAAATTAAGAACTACAATTGGTTTAAGGGGAAAGCTAGAAAGACTTAAAACCCTGATTATAGTACTCTAAAATCATGCAAATGGGCAATACAATGAACAAATTTAAGCTCGTTTGTGTTCTTTAATATTATCAAATACTGTATAGTCCGACTTGACCTAAAAAACCATAAACGCGTAAGATTTATTACCTGCTTCCGATGCTTTTATAGAGATTGCAGATTAGGTTATCTTCTTCCTCAGTAAACCCTCCATGCTTGATATTCGGCCTGAGGTAATTTAACCATCTAAGCCTACAACTCTTCCCGCACCTCTTAAGGCCTTCAGCATTAGAAGTTCTCAATTCAGCTCAAGGAACAGTAAAAAAATGTTTATGACTTCTTTAACGTCACCACGTTAATAATTGTTAGTTTTTACCTATTTTTTGAGGTAAGGATATCCAGTTGCCTCCGGTGCCGGTGCCATTTTTCTCCATGTAGGCCTTTAGCTTGGTGTCTTCGTCGGGCGACCAGGGGCCTTTCTTGACGTTGGCTTTGTCACAGCAAGGAGCTCTCCCCATATTTAGTGGAATATTTTTGGGTATTTTTTGTTTTGAGTTTGGTGTNGTATTTTTTGTTTTGAGTTTGGTGTCGGACTATCGGTTTCAATGTGCGGATGATGAGTATAATAGCTGGAGAAGGAGAGACGTGGGATGAAATGATCAGTGGATTTCAAAAAAGTGGAGTGGGAAAAAGATAAGACTTTTTTGCATAAATTAAATTGGAAATTTGAATGCCAGAGCATAGACCAAGTGTTTTCTCATTGTCCTTCTTATCTATAATGTAAAAAATATTCGTCGCCATTGACGTTAGGGTAAAGACACCCCTATATTCCAATTCGAATGCCATTATTGACTCATCGATTAAGCCTATATTTGCTCTTATTTCTTCGAGAACTCATTTTTTCAAAATTGATTTTCAATCACATATTCTCTCGTAAAATAATTTTACACGTAAATCGAAAATTTTTCCTTCTTTTTTAACCACACATTCTCCAAAACTCATTATTTCAAAATACATTTTCTTACCAAAAAGGGGCTCAAACAGGGAGTTAGTGTTTTATTTAACGTGTACTTTTTTCTACGTATTAGATTTGTATTTTTTTAAAACCCAACACAATAAATTGATTATAGTCTAATTATATTCACTCTACCGTGTTTACTTGTTACATTACATTTTAATTGCATTCAAAGTCATCGAAATTTGCTTATTGTAGCACTTGTATCTTTAAGAGTACCTTGAGTGCAATTAAAAACTAAAGATTGAGTAGGAATGACAAAAGACCCTTTCAATCAGATACTCGCGGACCCCTCCCCGAATGGGGTGGGATTACCCGTCTAATCGAGTAAACGGAGACGGGGCCGAGAGGGTGTCGTTGCCCCAAAGCCGGTACGGGAAACATGTTCCCCGTCCCATTAATAGTTAATTTGAAATTTAAGTTTTATATCAAATAAAAAGAAAATGTTTATCATCATTTTTAAAGAGAACACGATTTGTCATTAACAAACTTGAAAAAAAGTATTAATATTTATTAACTAAAGATATAAAAAATAAAAGAAAAAAATAAACAGGGCATGAGATTTGCCCCGCCCCGAACCTGTCTTATCCCATCTCACTTTAATCAGATATGAAGGTGAGGTAACAAAAATAATTGATAGGACGGAGGACGAATATGCCAACTCGTCTCATACTCGGTCCGTTGACATCTCTAAAATTGGGAATCTTGAGTGGAATTAAAATTAAAATGTAGTACAACAAATCCCGCATCTTAAAATCTTTTATTGGGACGAGCTGTTTGATTTAGAACTTTTTTGAAACTGTCACTTGATTTCTAATACCTCTATCCAATAACAGTAAGTATGGAGTTACATTGTTCATCATCTATTTCTCAAATGAGCAAATAACTAGATATCAAGTATCTCTACCAATTGGGGTTGAGCTACGACAAAGAAAATTAAGGCTAATAAATGAATTATCAATAATGTACGCCCTTGTTTGGTAGGGGATTAAAATCAGATTTTAGTAGATTAGATAGAATTTGATGAAATGTGTGGTTGAAAAGTTGTTGAACCCATAAAATATGTGGTTAAAATTAATCGTTGATTTTGACTTATATTAAAATCAAAATTTTAATCGGTACCACATAGATGCTAATATGATATTCTCCATGTTGTGGTGTGATCCAAATTCTATATTATTTGGGTTTGATAGAATAAAAGAAGTCTAAGGAGTTTGAGTTTTTAAGAGTCCAACTTAACGAAGATCAAATTTCATCAAGGATTGAGAGTTTGGCTTGGAAAANATACACATTCAACAATATCTTGAGAATTAGAGAGTTTAGATTTCAATTGAGAGAATTAAAATCTTGATATTTTAAACACAATTACTATTGATTTTAGTGAATTTTTCTCCTCTACCCGTGGTTTTTCCCATATTGGGTTTCCACGTAAATTTTGGTGTTTATTTAATTTATTCTCATTATCTTGCGATCTAAAATTCATAACAAGTGGTATCAGAGAGAAGTTGATTGTTCCGCATGGCGACAATGAAATATGATGTTTCACTGTTGGATTGAAACACGAGATTTACTTCATGGCAAGTGAATATGCAAGCGGTTCTAACGCATATGGATTTGGAGGAAGCCTTACTTGACTTTTATAGGATACCTGCTACCTAGACGAAAGATGAAAAGCAGCGTAGAGATCGAAAAGCCCAATCACAAAATTCATCTACATTTTTTAAATCAAATTCTTCAAGATTGGTGTAACTTTGAATGACAATTAGCTTGACCAGCAAGTTACACTTGAAACATTGTTTGTATTCTTACCGGATATCTAAAAGTGCATCATTAGACGATCACCTAACTATGTTCAAAGAAATCATGCTAATTTGGAGACATTGGAAGTTAAGTATGACGAGAAGGACTTGACGTTGATGTTGTTGTGTTCTCTACCACCATTATATGTGACTTTTAGATATACTATTCTCTATAGTCGGGATACTCTCACCGTCGAAGAGATCTATAATGCTTTACTATCTAAGGAGAAAATGATGCATTTTGTTGGAGGATCTGGGAATCATGTTGAATGCTTGATTGTGCATGGGAAAAATCAAGATAGGAATCTTGGCAGAAATATGAGGGGCAGATCGAAATCTAAACATGTTGAGAAAACATGTTACTATTGTAAGAAGAATGAGCATATTAGAGTTGATTGCTATGCCTTGAAAAATGGGTTCTAGACTCAGCTTGTACTTTTTATGTGTCCCAACAGGAACTTGTTTTCAACATATGAAGGAGTTTCGAGAGGTGCAATGATTATGGGAAACAACGCACCTTGAAAAATTGCCAGGTTGGTACAGTCAAAATCAAAATGTTCAATAGGGCGATCAGGACACTTACAGATGTAAGGCATGTTCCAGAACTAAAGACGAATCTTATATCTTTGAGTGCACTTGACTCAAAGGGTTATAGATACACTAGTGAAGGTGGAGGTTTGAAGGTGAGCCCGGTGCTCTTGTTGTCATGAAGGGGCGTAAAAGCTCTACACAATTGTACATTTTGCATGGTTCCATAGTAATTGGGGATGCAGTAGTTTTTACTTCTTCTTTAATAGATGATAAAGGTACAAAACTTTGGTATATACGGCTCGGGCATATGAGTGAGAATGACATGACATAGTTGAGTAGAAGGGGACTTCTTGATGGGCAGAAGACCAGCAAAATGAATTTTTGTGAGTATTGTGTCTTTGGGAAATAGAAAAGAGTCAGATTCATGAAAGGAAGACACAACACGAAGGGAACACTTGAATATATTCATTCAAATCTTAGGGGACTGGCCATGGTACTATCAAAAGGAGGCCATTATTAATTGTTGACAATGATTGATTATTTCTCCAGAAAAGTTTAGGTATTCTTCTTGAAGTAGAAGAGTGATGTGATTGGGACATTTAAGGAGTGAAAAACATTGGCTGAGAAGCAGACTGGAAAGTAAGTGTAATGTTACTGATAATGANTGGTACCATCAAAAGGTGCCATTGTTACTTGTTGATAGTAATAGATGATTTATCCAGAAAAGTTTGAGTATTCTTCTTGAAGTAGAAGAGTGATGTGTTTGGGACCTTGAAGGAGTGGAAAACATTGGTAGAAAAGTAATCTAAAAAGTAGGTGAAACATCTATGCACATATAATGGTTTGGAATTTTGTTAAGATGAATTCAATAGTTTCTGCTGGACCTGGAACTCCTCAATAGAATGGTGTGGCGGAACAGATGAATAGAACTTTGATAGAAAAGGCTCGTTGTATGCTTTCAAATTCTGGGTTGCCTTAGACTTGTTGGGCTGAAGCTGCTACTACAGCTTGTTTTCTGATTAATCACTCACATTTAGTTGCCATTGATAAAAAGACAACAGAAGATGTATGGTCTAGTAAACCTTATTGTTATTTTGATTTAAAGATTTTTGGGTGTCCTAATTGTTGTATTATAGACCTTTGATTTCACCAAATCGG